GGTCCCAAGTCTGGACGAGAAAATCTCCAGTTGCCGGACCCAAGCCCGGATTAGAAACGAGGAGGGCTGGAGACCGTGGCAAGTCTCCGTAAGGTTTAGCAACCTGCCAGTCACGGTAATGACGCCATCGAAAATCATACCGGCTCGGTCTTCGCCCGGGTTACCAAGGTCCGCGCAGGCTGCTGGGGGACTGAGGCAAACTGCAAAAAGTCGGTGATCAGAACCTGCTCACTGGCCTCTACTACCCGGGGGCGAAGCAGCACAACAACGGCTGACGAAGACCGACGGAACGACGACGAAGTTACCAGTCAGCAACAGCGTCGCTACCCGTTCTGAACGGAGGAGACACACAGCGCGACGCTATTACAGAACGTCAGAAAAAGCTCCACGAGAACGACACCGCCAGTGGGAGCGTACAGTCGTAAATTGGAATATAACCTCACTCAGAAGAAAAGAACAAGAGTTACCTCATCAGTTCATAAACTACCAACTCGACATTATTTGACTCCGCACAACGAGACGACAAAGATCTGGAATCCCGAACCTCTGTGGATGGAAGCTATCCTACTCAGGCGTCGATATCACGACGCGCGATCAGGCCGGTAATCGTGTTCTGGGAGAACGCAATCTTGCAGACAGAATCACTGACTGGAAAATTGTCAACGGAAGGGTGGTAATCCTCCGACTGAAGCTACAACAGGCTAAATCGATAACCTTGCCACAGGTCTGTGCGCCCAATTTCGAGGGAGAATATGAGACCGTGTGCAGTGCAGTGTGCTATGTCCGAAGAGTCGAATGCAGAGTCCCTCATACTGACGGGCGATTTTAATGCGCATCTCGGCATGAGTGAAAAAAACGGAAGTGACTCAACGATAACGGCATGAGGTTGTGGCGGTTTTGTGCAAACAACGGACTGTCCATCATGAACACCTTTGAGCATCGAAAAGTGCATCAGTACAACAAGAACCGGGAAGCTTGTGCACAGAAGTCGATAATCGATTTGATAATCGTCTCGTCTGACCTAAGACGCTCAGTAC